CGGTGGACAGGTGTCTCCGGGAGGTGGCGCGTTCCCGCCACCAGAGACAGCACCTGTGCTGGGCAGGGCCTTGCTCGGGAGTCGGCCGACCCCGCTCGAGGCGGCCTGACGCTTGGCATGGGTTCCACGTCCTCCTCATGCTTCTTCCTCTGCCGGGGCTGCAAAGCTGGCGTCTGCGTTTCCCAGATCCGCGGGCGGCGGGGCTCAGACCCCTGGGGCTCTGGGCTGAGCTTACGGGAACAGTTCGCGAACGCCACCGCAGAACGGGGCCACCGCGGATGCCCGCCGGGAGGGTGCCGCCTCCACCCGCACGCCAGGCCACAGAGAGATGCCCACACCTCGCCTCCTTCTCTGCACAGCTCAGGTCCGAGTCGGAATGTCACACGAGCGCATTTGACCAGCAGGACAGAAGCCGGATCCGGACGGTCCAGGCTGTCTCGGACACATAGTCGTTAGTGGTCCAGCCCCTGCAAGTCTCAAGGGACCAGTGTGGGGTCCTGGGAGGAGGACGATCTGAGCTGTCCTGTGTTTTAACAGAACCCCTCTGGTGGCTGTGTGGAAACTGGCCGGGAGGCTGGGGGTGACCCAGTGCTGGTTTAGGTCACGGGGATGCGTCTTATCCGCGGGGGAGGGGCTGAGGCTGTGTCATTCCCAGGGCACCTGTGATTTGTGGAGGGAAGGTCAGGATTTAACATTCGAAGAACGGCCCCCAAAGCCGGTGCTGGCCCTCGAGCCCTCAGTGCAGCCCGGGCGTGCAGGCTGTTCTGAGCGTGGGTTGAGTGGGGCGAACGCGTCTGAAACAGATGGAGCCGGGCGGGAGAGCTGCTCGGAAGCGGCCACCGAGGAGTCTTAACCCGTTTTTATGGCCCTGTTAGAGGGGGCCCCGGGGAGCTGCCTTCCCTTATTGTTCCCTCTGCGGTTCATTAACCGCTGGAGCCCCGTCCCCCAGGCTTCTGCTGCTGTCACCCAGGCAGACGACGCCTCATGCTGCCCGCAGAGGCTGCTCACTGACAGCCGCCCGAGCCGTCTCCCCAATATCTCCGCGAAATCTCTGGGCACGAACCAGGGGCTCCGCTGCAGAATGGCCCGTGCCCCCGGAAGGGAAGTGGGGCTGGGGGCCCGAATCCGGCTCCCTGTTCCTGCTCTGCCGGCACCTCACTGGGTAACCAACCCCCAGCGGAACCCGGCAAGATCCGGGCCCGGCTACAAAACCTTACACCAGATGGCTTATTGTGTTCCGTGCCTGCTCTGACATGTTAACGTAGAGTGTATGAAATCTCTACATTATGTATGGTTTCCATACCATCCCAAATTCCTTCCAGATCCCCCGAGTTCCTCCTTCTAGCTCTCCCCAAACCCCCTCCTGGCACCGGGCACTGTCCCCTGCTGTCTGGGAAACACAGCACAGGGCCTCTCTTGGGCCTCCCTTGCCATGTTTTTTGGGACCTCTCCCCTTCTGCCTCTTGCCCCCCACCTTTCTCTCTCCCCAAATCCAACCTGTCTAGTTCCATTGAGTAGCGAGTGCTAATAAGGGATTCTATCTTTCCGTATCTCTGAACCTCGGTTTCAATCTATACAACAAGGCTAATAATAATAATGATCCTCAATGTTATCACGAAGATCATTTACAGTTTATGCAACCATCTGGCACCACGTCTAAGGTATTTGATAAACGGCTGACATTCTCTAAAATGGACTCATTTAGACATCATTTTCTCTGAACACCTTCTTTGACTCCCACTTCGTGGGGTCCAGTGTTCTTCATCTGTGCTTCGGAGCCAGCCGGTCGAGGTAATGAGTGTGGCTGTCTGTGCACACTATCGCATGGATTCGAGTGGTTGGCCCCTCCGCCCCCGAAAGACGTCCGCGTCCTAACCTGGAAGCTGTGAGGACGCTCTGGGGCACAGCAAGAGGAATTAAGGCCGCAGACCATCGGCCTGGAGATGGGAGGTTACCCTGGGTTACCCGACCGCCCAGCGTAATCACGAGCCTCCTTATAACTGAAAGAGGGTGGCAGGAGTGTCAGAAGGAGATGTGAGGACAGAAGCAGAGGTCCGAGTGATGCCACTGCTGCTTTGGGGGTGGAAGGGAGCCAAGGGCCAAGGGACGAAGGCCGCCTCTACGAGCTGGAGCGGGCCGGGGGCTGGCTTCCGCCCGCCCCACAGCCTTCAGCAGCACGGCTGACACCTTTTCGCCCGCCAGGCCCATGTCAGACTTCTGATCCCCAGAACTATAAGATAATAACATTGTATTGTTGTATGCCACTAAATTCGTGACAGCCATTATTTGAAACTAAAACAACCCCTCGCATACGTTTAATTGGCGAGACCATCTAAGTAGTCATTGTTACTCGCAACCATTTACAATTGAGTAACTTGCAGCTCAGAGAAGTTAAGAAATCTGCCCCCAACTGCACAGCTCCTAAATAGCCATCAGATCTTTTGATGCAAGTTACAAAGCACAAACAAAAACACAAATCGGCTTAAACTATTAAGGGGTTTTATTGACTCACATAACTGAAAAAAATTCCAGAGGAAGGTCTCGTGAGGAACAGGCAGGGCTTGGTCCACAGCTAAATGGACGACGCGAAGGGTCCATCACTCCTTCCTCTCTTGCCTCTGTGTCCACAGTCCTGGCTTTATTCTCAGGCCACACACGGTGGACCGCAAAGCCCCAGGCTCACCACTACGGTGGTAAAAATGACTGCAGCAGTTCCAGGAGGCACAACTTCACACTCCACGACTTCTGGAGGGAACAAGAAGGCTTCCCTTTCCTAGAAGGCCCAGCAAACATCTTGCGATCGTTGCTTCTGATTATGTTATTCCCCAGATACTGAGTCCAATAGTGGGTCTGTGGATGGGGAGTGGGGAAGGGCTGAACTGCCCAAACGAAAACCAGAGTGGTTTGTGCAGGAGAAGCAGGAAGTGGGTGTCGGATGTCCACAATGCTGGCTGGCAAATGTCCTGACCACATAGTTTCTGAGTTCAAACGCTACCGTCTCCAGGTAAGATTTTCTGATTTTTTGGACACGTGGTCACTGTCGTTGTCTATTTACCTCTCAGAGTTCCCCCAGACTAAGGGACGAGCCTAGAGCCGTCAGAGAAATAGGGTTAGGACTTCGACATGTGAATCTATAACGGAGGACACAATTGAACTCCTAGCAGTACTTTTGGAATTTAAGTTCCTATGTCATTTTACGGATGGCGATTCTTTTTCCCTTAGGAAAGGAAATATGGGTCTGAGGAGTAAGAGCCTTTTCTTTCTTTTCTACCTTACGACAGTTCCAAAGATTGTGTTCTGAACTGCGAACCTGCACTGACCTTAACCACCTCCTGGCGACAGACTGAGACTTCTGTGAGTTTCTAAAAACTTTTGAAGTGTGGTCTATTCTTGTTAGCTAGAAGAAAAGACTCTTAACTGCATTCCGCTTAACCAGCCGGGCAGATGCAAGTCACACGGTTACCTGCCTTGCGTGTACCATGGTCCCCCGGGGCTTTGGCTTCCTGTGTAACTTGAAAAAGAAATGTATTGTGAAAACGTCTCTTTGGAGACTACCACCGTGGTAGGGAAAAAATGCTTAAGATAATCACTTACAGTAGGGACATGAAGTTCCTAAGGGCAAGCCGGAGCTTCAGTAGACGGCTACCGTCATTTCTTGGCTTCTCAGGAAAGGTCTTCTTTCTCTGCCCTTCCCCTGCAAAGGCCTCAGTCTCTCTTCTCAACAGAAACTGAATACATACTAAATTTTTTTATTTTTCAATTGCAGTTGACAAACAATATCGGTTTCAGGTATACGACACGGTGATTAGACATTTATGTAACTTATGAAGCGATCACGCCGATAAATCTAGGAACAAGTATTTTTAAAATGTTTCAGAGAACTAAATTGTTAGCCTTTCTTTTTAATCTGGTACTGCCAGTTGTACAACCTTGAACGAGTGACTTCATTCATTCACACGACATTTAGTACCTACTCTGTGCCAGGGATCATTTTCCATGCTGGGGACATGCACATGGCTCCTCCTCTCATGGAGTTTATAGTCTAGTGACATGTGGCACACACGGGGATTGCCAACCTTACAGGAATTTTCTCTCCCCTGCTGACGGAACTCTAATTTTGTCTGAAAGGCAATGTAACCTGTGCTACGGTCTGGGAAAAAATATTCGCAAACCATGTCTCTGACCAAGGATTGGTATCCAGTTTTGGAGATGTTAGGTCTGAGGTGCCTGTGGGATGTGGAGGCGTCAGTAGGTGCTGGGACATACATCTCAAGGTTTAGGAGGTGGGTCTGGGTGACAGGTGGACTGGGAAGCATCAGCATGTAACTAAAGCCAAAGGACAGGGTGAGAGCGGCCGGGGGAAATGGAGAGAGGAGGGGCAAGGGCAGGGCTGGGGGATGGATTCAGTACCCGGTGCACTGAGGCTGGGTGGGAGAGGCCTGCAGAGGGACCGAGATGGCGCGCCCCTTGGAGACAGGCAGAAAAGAGAACAAGAGTCTGAGGGTCACAAAAGCTGATAAAGAGTATTTCTCAACGAGGGGAGCGAGCAGGCCGAGCAAGGACTGAGAAAGGCGGAGTTATGGCAGACCTCGGGCAGAGGCACCGCTGGCGGTGGAAGGCGGGCTGCGGCGGGATAAGGAGTGGGAGGGGAAGGGCGAGCACGGCCGCTGTCCCCGCAAAGCTGGCTGCCCGCGGCAGATAAGGCGGTGGGGACGCAGGGGCGGGCGCGGCGGGCGCACGGAGAGGCGCGTGGCGACCGCTGCCGGGAGGGAGCAGCAAGCAGAGAC